GCTCTCATAACAACTCAGAAACTGGTTGTACTTGATATTTGGCATTCATTCCTTGCAACTCCCTGTCATATGATCCTATCAGTGTATGAGATCTGTCAGAGGACTGCTGCAGTTATATCTCTGAACGACTTGGTAAAATGCACTGTAAAAAAATAAAATCTTTAAAAAAAAGTCAGACTATCAGTTACAGCTGCCAAAATAACAAAAACCGTAAAAATAAAGTAAAATATCATAATTTAAATAAAAGTGCAAATTTTTTATTTTTACATAAATGTTCCTTAAAAGTTCTGCAGAAAACGCTGTATTAATTCAGGAAATAGCTGTAAAATAACAATCAAACACCTTTAAAAAACATAAAAACAGTCAAATGACTGTCAGCAATGGCTGCCATATAAAAACATGAGTGTAAAATATCCAGAGGTGTATAAAGTAGAAGTAGAAGTAGAAAAAATAGAATTCCTGCCATGTGTTTATTTCAGCCATGAACTGATTGACAGTTGATTTCAGCTGATTTCTGTCTCCTGGCTGAAAAACTGCTAATATGCAAATCCAGGTGATTGGAACAAATTACTGAGGCGGACTTTTACTTTCTGAACCTGGACTATAACATCCAGATGATCAAATAGAAAAGGTGATTTGTTGATGTCGGTTGTGTTTTTACATAATCATTATATCAAAATCATTTGACCATAATCACAGAACTCATACAGAGGCCAATGTCTGAGTTACGTTTGTCTTATGGATTATAGCAGCACTGCCATTGTAGAGCATACCATTTATAGCCTTTTCAAAGAAATCCAAATGATCAAATAAAAAAAAATCTTCAAAAAAATTTCAAAACAACTGTAATATGCATGCACACACAGACATCAATATTTAAGGTATGAATCTCAGCAATGGTGACAAACAGATTACCTCTGAACATAAGCTAATTATTTATTCATGCAGCAATGCATGATGGGAGCCATGCGTTAATTTTGATTGGTGACACCCAGAATGCACTGCAACATGCTTTATAATTGTCACCATTGTTGAGATTCACAGTCTGATTCTTGATGTCTGTGTGTACCTATAGAAACTATTTCTTTTTTTTTTAGAAATTTATTTTTGTTTCTTTTTTATTGATTTGCTCATTTGGATACCATTGGCTAAAAAAGGCTAAATGGTATGCTCTACATGCCAGTGCTGCTATAATCCTAAGGTAAACTTGGCTTCTGAATGAGTTCTGTGATTCTGGTCAAATGATTGTGATATAATGATTATGTAAAAACACAATCAACAACGACGAATCACCTTTTCTATTTGATCATCTGGCTGTTATAACTCATGTACAGCAGCCAAACTTAATCTATTAAATTAAATATGGCCAGCAGCCATATCACCCTGTAGCCCAAGACTGGTTGCCCACTGAAGCTAAGCAGGGCTGAGCCTGGTTAGTACCTGGATGGGAGACCTTCTGTGAAAGCCAGGTTGCTGCTGGAAGAGGTGTTAGTGAGGCCAGCAGGGGGTGCTCACCCTGTGTTCTGTGTGGGTCCTAATGCCCCAGTATAGTAATGGGGATACTATACTGTCAAAGAGCACCGTACTTCGGATGAGACGTTAAACCGAGGTCCTGACTCTCTGTGGTCATTAAAAAATCCCAGGATGTCTTTCGAAAGAGTAGGGGTGTAACCCCGGCAAGACACCTGATCTTAACAAGCAGAATCACTGAATGAGAAAACCGGAATTTAAAGTCACCATTATGGAGATGAGTGTTTGTTTTAGTTGTAATCACATTATCACATTATTAACTTTAATCACATTATTTGTAACGGTCACAAGCTGGAGTGCCCTTTTGAGCCAGCAGAGGGCACTCCAGATAAGACTATTATCACTCAAAAACTACATTTCCCAGAACTCACTGCCCGGACTCATTATCACTGATCACATTCACCTGTACCTCATTCACTGATTGCATTCACCTGTGTCTTATCCTCTTTAGTCTGTCTATATATACCATGTTCATTCATTACTCACCGTGAAGTCTTGTTTAAAGGTGCCATATGAAATAATTGAGGTAAAAATATCCAAAAAATGAGCTACATGCATCAAAAGAATGAGAAGAAATAAGTGCAATGATGTAATTAAAAAACTGACAAGTTATAGTGCTGCCGAGATATAAACCTAAATTAGCATGCTAAATTACTAGCTCCGGCCCGGCAGGTGTCGTAATACCAGTTTCGGCCATGGGAGGCGGTATGCGGGCGGGCAACATTACTACCAGCCAAACTGCAATAGACGAGTAACTCGCGCGCCGTGTGTGTACTTGAACCTGATGTCAGTCGTGTGGAAATACAGCCCACTACTACATTTCAGTTCAGGGAAGAGTTCAAAAAATGATTGGTCAATATTATGCATGAGGAATATATTTTGGTAAGTTGTAGCATACTGTATCTTTCAACAGTGTTCGTGTTCTTTCCATTAGCTAGTAACGTTAGAGATGATCGGTTCATGTGCGCTAGGGATCTGTCGTGTAACAGTTACAAGCGCCAAACGGTATTTATTGTTTGAATTGCGTAATAAAATTGACAGAATCTGAGAGCGTAACTAACCTGCTTGCTAAGTGTTAATTGCATGTGTCTCACGGTGAATTCGTGAGAGCTGGCAGCTCTGAATTTCGCTAGGTTGATCAACATCAGCGAATGCTGTCTGTCAAATTAATTCAAATTAACAATAAAAGTGTAATATGAACAAAACGAATACCGTAAACTTAAAATAAAAGCCCAGGCTTTTATTTTCCCATATCGTCGAAATGCACCAGCTTGTTTTTGAGACAGGTGTCTATGAGATGGTCTTCATCATTTAGTGTTGAGATGTTGTTCATTGAGTCTCTGATCTCTAAAAATCTCCAAATGCTCCACGTGAAAGTGCGGTCTTCCAACCTTTTACTATCATGTCAAATGATTTGAATAATATGCGGAAAAAGAGAGCAAAACAGCGCTTGCTTGTGTTGTTTGAAGACGTGAGAGTGCGCGCGGACGCGGCACAACAAATTTTCTGGAGTTATCCTGCCCCCTGCCAATTTCTGATTTAGGTTTGTCTTATGGATTATAGCAGCACTGCCATTGTAGAGCATCCCATTTTTAGCCCTTTCAAAGAAATCCAAATGATCAAAAAAAACCTTCTTCTTAAAAAAAAAAACATTTGTATGCATGCACACACAGACATGAATATTTAGCGTATGGATCTCAGCAATGGTGACATACAGATCACCTCTGAACATAAGCTAATTATTTATTCATGCAGCAATGCATGATGGGAGCCATGAGTTAATTTTGATTGGTGGCACCCAGAATGCACTGCAACATGATTTATGATTGTCACCATTGTGGAGATTCACAGGCTGATTCTTGATGTCATGTAGGTTGTCTACAAACCGGAAGGTTGGTGTTTCAATCCCCAGTTCCACCTGACCATGTGTCGATGTGTTGTGTTTCAACATATAATGATTATATTAAAACACAACCAACAGCCTCAGATCACCTTGTCTATGTGATCATCTGGCTGTTATAACTCATGTACAGCAGCCAAATATAACCTAAAGTTAATAATGTGGGGTCAAGAGCCCAACTAAAGCAAATACTGATCTCCATAATGGTGACTTTAAATTCCGGTTTTCTCCTTCAGTGATTCTGCTTGTTATCATCAGGGGGGTATTCCAGAAAGCAGGTTATGTTACTTACCCGGGTAAGTTTAGGAGTAAGTAAGCGGATAACCTCTGCTTTCGGTTCCAAAAACGAGAGTAACTTTTGGGTTTTTGTAAGTAACCATAGCAACTGACTCTCTAAGGATAACCTGCTCCGGAGCAGGTTATGTTGCAGGGTTAGTTTGTTTCAGAGAGGTTTCCGAGCATGGCGTGCCCTTTTGATGAGGATCCTGTGGACGTAGAGGCACAGATAATATGGGGTTTTTTTAGCCGTGAGAGGGTGATAAGACCACGTATCGTATCGTATGTCTTTTCATATCCTGACGAATATTTGCATGAGCGCTATCGTTTTTCTAGGGTGTCGTTAATTTATTTAACAAACCTACTAAAACCACACATCGCAAACGTGACAAACCGCGGGTCAGCGCTTAGCGCCGAACAAATTCTTTGTATTGCTCTGCGCTTTTTTGCTACGGGGAGTTTTCTCTACAATGTGGGCGATGCAGAGCATGTGGGAAAGGCAACAGTGTGTAGAGCCGTTCGTACAGTATGCATGGCACTGAAACGGTTTCTACACACTTTTGTACAGTTCCCTGGCCATAAACCTGTGCGCGTTATTAAAGAAGAATTCCACAGGGTGGCAGGTACACTTTCAGAAATTCTGTCATCTACTTCAATAAAATGACATTTCTTAATAGGTTTATTTTGACTGGACAAGCACGTAAAGGTTACACAGACTTCTTAATCTTGTAATTAATCTTAATTTCAGGGTTCCCAAACGTGATTGGGTGCCTTGATGGCACCCACATTCCTATTAAAGCTCCATCTATAAATGAGGGAGACTATGTTAATATGAAGTCTGTCCATAGCATCAATGTGCAGGTAATAGCTATATTTTTTTGTTCCTTAATATTAGGGTTACCAATAATAAACGTATTGTTCTCCACAGGTAATATGCGATGCAACCCACCTCATCACTAATGTTGAGGCAAAATGGCCTGGTTCTGTACATGATGCCAGAATATTTAGTGAGTCATCTCTGTGCAACAAATTTGAGCAGGGTACGTTTTGTTAGACAAATGCTTGTAGTCTTTATTACATTTACAAAACACCTCAAACATTACAGGACACTTCTATGGCTACTTGCTGGGGGACAGAGGATACCCTTGCCTCCCCTATATGATGACACCCTACCCTGATCCAGAGCCCGGACCACAGACACGCTTCAACCGGTCTCACAGCCAAACACGGGCCAAGGTGGAGATGACAATAGGCATTCTGAAGGCGAGGTTTCAGTGTCTGTGTGGGCTTAGGGTCACTCCAAATAGGGGATGTGACATGTGTGGTACTTCACAACATTGCCACAACAATAAGAGGAGAGAGGCATCCCCCCTGTCCTGATGAAGATGACCTAGAACAACACCCAATGAATCTAGCAGACCACAGAGATGGCAGAATGCTTAGAGACATGATTTGTCAAAATCACTTTATTTAATTTCTTTTATTTCTCCAGATCCTGAAATAAAGAGACATGCCAGATTTGTATTTATTGCTTTATACACACATGAAAAAAAAATTTGTGTTCACATATGATTCTCACCTTAAGGTTATGCTCCATTAATTTGATTTCAAGTTTGGTCTTTTTAATGGCCAGCCTTTTCTCCTCTTGCTGAAGCTGTATAAGGTCCATGTCCATGTCACTTTTTTTAATTTGCCTTAATAGATGGACCTTAGCCAGCTCCTTTTCAGACAACTAGGAAGGCAAAGTAAATAAGATGTTTAAAAAAGAAAATCAGCCATAGTAACATTATGTGATAAGGACAACCAGGGACAAGTTCTTACACTGCTAAGATTAGGTGTAGAGGTAGATGGACCCTCATCTGCATTAACATCCCCAGCTACATTCTGTCATGGGATAAAATTACACATATTTCACTCCATCTAAAAAGCTATGCATTGTCCAATATATGCATCATACCTCTGTGGGTCTCCCAGCACTTTCTAATTCAGTCACAGCAGATGTGGTCTCTTCATCATCATCCTAGAGTGGAAATATGCAAGGTTACTTTGTCTGGCAGACATAGTGAAAGATCTAAAAGCAACTGGTTCTTAAAATGCATCACTAACAATTGTGACAAACTGTGTGGTTTCAGGAGGATCCAATAATACAATGCGTCCATCAGCAACTGCAAGAAAAAAAAAAGACACTCAATGTGTAAATGACTTAAATATGACAGACATGGAATAAAAGCATTAGGAACATGCAAGAATAAAAACAGATTACTGTATACAGCATATGCTGTAAAAGAAAATATGTATGCATAATGCACAAGTGAAACAATGACTGCATTTGTGAAGCATTTAGCCTTCTTTCTAATGACATACCTACATTAAAATGACTTCCATGATGTTGAAGTTACAAGAATAAATTATGTTTGTTTAACAAAACCCAGTTATGAGGAACCGGTGGAACCTGTTTACAAAAAAAAGTTAAGTAAAGCCAACACATCATTTTTTTGATTTCGAGGGCAAGAAGACACATGCTCGCCTGTGTTTTGTTGATTTTTCATCTGCGTTCAACCGTACACAGGTTTGGCATTTTGAGTGCAATTAACAAAAACAGCATATGTCGGAAAATAATTGGCACTGATCTGAACAGCATTGAGCATTTGTATAAGGCCAGAGCTACACAGAGGGCAATGGCCATTTTGGCTAACACCACTCATCCACTACACTCTGAGTTCTGCCCCCTACCATCAGGAGGGAGGTATACCAACCGAAAACAGATATTTGAAATCATTTGTACCATTAGCTGTTGGGTTTCTCAACAAATTATAGGTACATGTTATTGTCAGCGCAGTCTCACCCCAAAAAGTCATATAACTGACGTTTTGGGACTTCTTTTGACCATACGTCAATATTCGCCTTTTTAGGGCCCCCTTAAACGTCGGTAGATGAGGTTATGGGATCCTAACTCTACCCCATACCTAAACCTAACCCTAAACCTAACCCGTCACCTAACTGACGTTAAAGGTAAAGCGTCAGTTGTATGACGGCCCGGGATCGCCATCTAGCGACGTTTAAGGGGGCCCTAAAAAGGCGGATGTTGACGTATGGTCAAAAGACGTCCCAAAACGTCAGTTATATGACTTTTTGGGATGAGACTGTGTTGGTTATTGTACATGTCTGTTTTTATCTATTTATTATCTCATCTTTTTATCTGTTTTTGACTGAATGTGTTTATGTGTTGGCTACCGGTTTTGAACTAAATTGCCCCTTGGGGACATTAAAGATATTTCAATTCAATTCAATTCAATACATGTCTTGTTCAGACTTTATAAACTCGGAATATTTTGTATAAAACGACTCACCTGTTGTGTAACAGTTTGTTTCAAGTATTTTTGTAAACAGCTCTTGAACTTGTCCAATATGTCCACTATTCGTGTTGTTGAACACACAGTATCTCTGCTCATATTCCTGAAGGAGTTTCTTCAACACTTCATAATCACTGATGAATTCTTCTATCGTCATGTCGTCTTCCTCTAGTTGATCTCCTCTGGTGAAGAGAATCCAGGTTTTTCTTTTGCGCTTTACTCCCAAAACCTTCTCAATCTTCTCCACAGTTTTTCTCTCTTCTTCAGTGAATCTGTCAGCTTTGATCACCAGTAGAAACACACAGGGATGGGATTCACATTTCTGGAAAACATTATATATCTGCTGAATCTTCTCTTCACTCTCCTCTGAGTCAAGGAATCCTGGTGTGTCATAAACAGTGACCCGTCGTCCACAGACCATACTGGATTCCTCAGCAACCTCCTGTGTGACGGATGTGAAGCTTTTCTTTGATATGAAAACTTCTCGTCCCAGGATTGTGTTTCCAGTTGCACTTTTCCCAACTCCTGCTTTTCCAAGTAGGACCAGATTCAGACTTGGATGCATTCCTGCCATTTTTAAGCCTAAAGGTAAAAAGTGTTGTAAGTCAAAAGTGAACTTACATGCAACTAACATCAAAGAGCTGAAACTAGACTAGGTCTAAAACCTTGCGTCCATATGTGGTAAAACACGATTTCACTTTTCTAACTTTAGCTAGTGTGTAATGTTGTTGTTGCTGTTTAAACAAACAACATCTTTGTTTATGGAAGTCGTGGGATTTCATGTGTTGCGTGACGTCTCTGCGCCCAAGTAGCAGTGATTTGCCTTAGCGGCAGTGCTTCGCCTGTGCTTCCCCCTAATATAGTCCCAAGTCAATATCTGCCTAGGAAATCGCCTAGTGTTAATCTGCGTCGCTATTTGTACTTGTTGTGAATACGCAGGCCACAAGAAGTAATTACGTGGGTTTGTTTATTTTTTTGTTTATTTTTTTTAATCACTTTTACTCAGGACATGCTAGCTGGCAACAAAGGAATCCATTCATTGTGCTAAGCTAAGCTAGCATCGACCTTGTCAAACTGAAACAATGCATGCACTGAGATAAAAATGCGTTTGCACACATATCTAAATGTAGGAAAGAATGTAAATAAGCCATATTTCAAAAAACGGTGGAGTTTTCCTTTAACACTCAGCTCAGAGTTTGATTGGATGGCTTAAAATGACTTCCATGATGTTGAAGTTACAAGAATAAATTATGTTTGTTTAACAAAACCCAGTTATGAGGAACCGGTGGAACCTGTTTACAAAAAAAAGTTAAGTAAAGCCAACACATCATTTTTTTGATTTCGAGGGCAAGAAGACACATGCTCGCCTGTGTTTTGTTGATTTTTCATCTGCGTTCAACTGTACGCAGGTTTGGCATTTTGAGTGCAATTAACAAAAACAGCATATGTCGGAAAATAATTGGCACTGATCTGAACAGCATTGAGCATTTGTATAAGGCCAGAGCTACACAGAGGGCAATGGCCATTTTGGCTAACACCACTCATCCACTACACTCTGAGTTCTGCCCCCTACCATCAGGAGGGAGGTATACCAACCGAAAACAGATATTTGAAATCATTTGTACCATTAGCTGTTGGGTTTCTCAACAAATTATAGGTACATGTTATTGTACATGTCTGTTTTTATCTATTTATTATCTCATCTTTTTATCTGTTTTTGACTGAATGTGTTTATGTGTTGGCTACCGGTTGTGAACTAAATTGCCCCTTGGGGACATTAAAGATATTTCAATTCAATTCAATACATGTCTTGTTCAGACTTTATAAACTCGGAATATTTTGTATAAAACGACTCACCTGTTGTGTTACAGTTTGTTTCAAGTATTTTTGTAAACAGCTCTTGAACTTGTCCAATATGTCCACTATTCGTGTTGTTGAACACACAGTATCTCTGCTCATATTCCTGAAGGAGTTTCTTCAAGGCTTCATAATCACTGATGAATTCTTCTATCGTCATGTCGTCTTCCTCTAGTTGATCTCCTCTGGTGAAGAGAATCCAGGTTTTTCTTTTGCGCTTTACTCCCAAAACCTTCTCAATCTTCTCCACAGTTTTTCTCTCTCCTTCTGTGAATCTGTCAACTTTGATCACCAGCAGAAACACACAGGGATGGGATTCACATTTCTGGAAAACATTATATATCTGCTGAATCTTCTCTTCACTCTCCTCTGAGTCAAGGAATCCTGGTGTGTCATAAACAGTGACCCGTCGTCCACAGACCATACTGGATTTCTCGGCAACCTCCTGTGTGACGGAAGTGAAGCTTTTCTTTGATATGAAAACTTCTCGTCCCAGGATTGTGTTTCCAGTCGCACTTTTCCCAACTCCTGCTTTTCCAAGTAGGACCAGATTCAGACTTCGATGCATTCCTGCCATTTTTAAGCCTAAAGGTAAAAAGTGTTGTAAGACAAAAATGAACTCACATGCAACTAACATCAAAGAGCTGAAACTAGACTAGGTCTAAAACCTTGCGTCCATAGGTGGTAAAACACGATTTCACTTTTCTAACTTTAGCTAGAGTGTAATGTTGTTGTTGCTGTTTAAACAAACAACATCTGCGAAGTTACAACGCTCAAAGTTTAAAGCAAAGGGAGAAGCAAAGAAATCAATTTCTAAGAACTGTTAAACCCGTTCAATGCATATTCATACTTAACGTTATCCGACTACAGACTGATCTCATGAAGTAGCGTGTGTATGACACGCCAATTCGTATTTCCATTTTTGGCGTGCTATCAACACGCATAATTGCTTTTCAGCGTGTTTATGAACGCCGTTGACTTAACGTTACATTACTGTATATATAAATATATGACCTACCCCAACCCCGTCCCTAAACCTACCCGTCACTGGGGTTAATGGCATTTATGAGTCTTCCCTAGGGAAAAAAAAAAATATCGCTCCCCAGATGTAGATGTACATTTTGCTTCATTTTGCTCGGACATTTGACAGCGTATACACGCGGAACCACTCGGACATTAATGGCGTAGACATACATGCATCAGTGATGCGCGGGTTGATCCGAAATGAGCGGGTGCCTGCGGACACCCGCGGTTACCCGCAGTTACGGGTCATCCAAAAATGTTTTTAATGATATTCGGGTCGCGGTCGGTCGGGTCGTTTGAAAAAAGATGCCAATTAAACATTTGTATTAATATAGTACTAGACACAATGTTTGATGAAATATACAGCCCTACACATTATTGGCTGAATAACTGGCACGAAGATAACACACAAGCTCAGTCGAAACAGTTTTAGGTTCTGTACTGGTGATTCGAGAACCGCTGTCCCTGTGCGTTCGGTAGTCCACAGTATCAGCTGCTCGTGCTCATCACTTCTCTCAACAGTGGCACCAATCTCGGTTACTGGAGTAAAATATAATTCAGGATATTGATTTATTTCGATTCGTTGGCGACCGTCAGGCATGTCTGAAAGTGAGTAACTTTAGTAACTTGTGGATCAGCAGCACTGACGCAAGATGTGAACTGTTTCGAACGATTCAGTTCGATTTAGTGTACTGGTTCGACCGGTTCACTAAAAAGAGCCGGTTCAAAGAACGATTCGTTCACGAACCGGCCATGTCTATGATCAACACTACAGTCTGCACGGAGATGGAGGCGGCAAGAGAAAAGGTGAAGACTGTGGAGTGGAAACTCCGCAAATACACAAATAGAAAGAGTAAAAGTGTGGGAGACATTTGCTGAAATAATGAAAGATGATGACCAAAGTGCTGGCTTTGTTATATGTAGGCCTACGTCTTCTTGCGATGCTGTGTTGTTACACGTCTATATGGCCCAATAACGCTCCGATGAGCATTTACTACTTTTAAAAAATGCGGTCAGGAAGCGGGTCGGGTACAATATTTTTTTACTTTTTTTTTGCGGTCCGAGTTGCGGGCGGGTAGCTGAAAACGTCGGTCGGTTGCGGGTTGTTTATACATTGACCCGCGCATCACTGGCATGCATACACGCGGATAGCTGAAAATGCGTAGAGATAACACGCCACTTGACTCGAAAGTGGCGTGTATGTTTACGCAAAAGTCATGATGTCATGTTGCCGACTAACACCTAACGTTACAAACTTTTAAAAAAAAATCTCAACAGTGAACTTAAAATTAGTGTCAATTATTCTTTGATTAACATAATTTTATTTAAAAAATATTTAAAAAAATAAAATATTAGCCATTTAAATCCTACTAGTTTCTCAATCAGATTAAAGTAACTTGTGTATACAGTATGCACAATGAATATGTCTATTTAGTAAATTACATTTATATCTATGTATTTGCCAGATACATTTATCTACAGATTGACAGGTCGTTTGTGGCTTGGCTATAAATGTGCAGTTCTGTTGTAAACATAAACATGTTGTAAAAACCTAAGTAATAATGCATGTCATTCTCCATGATTTGTGAATTCAGATGACCCAGTCTGGCCAAGCATGTATGTCTCTCTGCACCAGCACCCAGTTTGTATGTCTAAATTAGTTGCTTACATTTATGAAATGACCATACGCTATCTCACGACCAATTCGTACGAGTGATTAAAAAGTGGCTAATTCGTGCGAATTCGTACGACCTCACTCGTATGAATCCGTACGATTTGTCCAAACCCACGTGATGGGTAGGTTTAGGGGCGGGGTCAGGGGTAGGTCATTCGTACGAATTCATACGAACTGGCCAATTCGTAAAATATGTACGATTTAGCAAAAACGTACGAGTGAGGTCGTACGAATTGTTACGAATTAGCCACCTCGTAAAATTTGTACGAATTCTCGTTAGCGAGCCCATTTAATACGAATAAAGGTCCATGTTTTATAAAAATGTTCACAAAACTAAATGAAAATATTTAGTGAAATTAAAAATATGTAAGTTATCATTAATTTGGTTGTAGGCTACGATCTCATTTCCATTTATTTTGTTTTAATGTAACATGATACAATCTCAAGGTTTACTGCTTTACACAATTCTTTTGTAGTGAGGTTTTGATGGTGTTAAAATAAACATTCACGTGTCACTGTAAAAAAAAAATAGTTGACTTAACTCATTATTTTGTGCCATCTTTTTGCATCTTTTTTTTTTATTTTTTAGTTTAACTAATTTCAAAAAGTGTACCTGACAAATTTGGAAAGGTTATAAAGTACAATGAACTGATTTAATTTAGTTTGATTTAGTAAACTTTGAATCTAAGTTCGGCCAACTAAAGTTAAGTTTTCTAAACTACATCCAATAAGTTCAGTCAACTAAAGCAGTGTTTTGAAACTTTAAAACCTGCAGCAGTACCAAATAATCAATTACTACTAGAACATTGATTTATAAAATACATTCGTTTTAAACAAAAATTCATGTCAAATTAAAGATCTCTGATACAATTTTCAATACACAATTTATTGCATTGTATTCCATTGTAATGTATTGCAACTCCTTTCCATGAGGTTGAAATCAAAATTTTAAGCCACCATTATGGTGATTAGTGTTTGCTTTAGTTGGGCTTGCAAGCCATAAACTGTTAAAATCAATTTTTGTTTGGATGTTGTCATTGAATAATAGCTGCAGATGATCAATGAGGTCTGTGTACTTTTTGATAATTTAATTTTCAATTAAGTTTGCAATCATTTCCCAATCACCCTTAATTCACCCAACAAAGATATCTGTGAAGACGTAAAAACAGCTGTGTTGTCTTTATCAGCTATCCCATTCGAAATAAAATGGACTGAAAATTGTCTGTCAAATATTATAGGTTGTGTTTTTTAAGAGAATAAACATTTTGCAAGTGAAATATGAAAGGTGAATATGAATGATGAAAATGTTTTGAATTGAAATATTCACAGATTAAATATACTACAATCTTCAATGCTGCATTAACATGCAAGCCCCAATACAACGCAATAAAATGCAAACATGGTTAATGCAATGCTTTTTTTTTTCAAAGTGCAATTCAACAAGCTTTTTTTGTTTCCAAAACATTTTGCATTATTTTACTTCCATACAAGTCTTCAAATGTACTTTAGCTACCATCAGTAAACAGTCTCTAAAAATGTGATGTTCACTTATCAGATTCTTTATACAGGTACAAAAAAATCTAAATCATAAGAGTTAGAATCTTTACTTATTTAAACTTACCTTAAAAAGCATCCTCCGAGACGCTTATGAACGCAGCTCAATCGTGTGGCTGCGCTTGAATCTTCTGTTTTTGAAAGTGTATTTCAAAACGTAGATGAAGGAATATTGCTATAAACATTAAGTTTTTTTTTTTTTATCTTTGAAGGTAAAAGTCTAAACTTAAGTAGCCTTCTTAAAAGCACGTCTTCATTTCCTGAAATGAGATTGTAGAACAAATGTTCTTCACTGTAAAAACAAAACACTGATCATGAGGAAGCAAAGTTTTATTAAAAACTTACCAGTGATGTTTGTTTTGGCACCCCCAGAATTCAGAATCGTCCAATAAAAAATACATAAAACTATGTTCGCACAGATGTGTCAATTTCATGTAAGTAATGACGAGACGCTTCTACACCTGAACTTCGAAGTTATTATTTCGCAGTACACCCACCTGCTCTCGATCGTCTTTCATAGGCCTACATGATAGAAAATGTGTTCAGAGATTGTCATCAATCCAGTTAAACCTGTTCCTAAAGGAAGGCTTTGTCTTCACTTTAATGCACTGAGAAAACAACGTAGCCTACATTAGGCTGATATTAAACAATTATAATTTGTGGTGGATGTATAATTATAACATTTTACTCAAGTAAAAGAAAGGTGCCTTTATGTCAACTGACTTAACAAAATTAACACAAGAGTTAAATTAACACAGCTCAGTGTTTATATGAATCCACTTTGTGTTATAAGTAGGCCTAACACTGATACAGTGCTAGAGTTAATGAGATAGGCTAATTAAGTGATTAATTGATGATTGAGCATTATTGAAGACACAATGTTAACAAGCAGAATCACTTGAGGAGAAACCCAAAATGTCAAATTTTGGACTTACACTCTTAGAAGAAATGGTTCTATTTAGAACCTGAAATGGTTCCATCCCCCGCTTCATATATGGAACTCCAAAATGGTTCTATATAGAACCATTTTTGTTTTTTTGTAAAAGGTTCTATTGGCCAAGTATGGAACCCCAGGGTTCTATATAGAACCCAGAGGAACCCTTTTTTAAGAGTGTATAGAAACTTTTAGGGGTTCCAAATACGTAGCACTGATAGAACCTTTTAAGGTTCTATATAGAACCTTTTCTTCTAAGAGTGTACGATTTTATTTGGCTGCTGTAATTGAGATATAACAGTCAGATTGTTATGCCTGTGTCTTTTATATAACACAATGATATGCTGAGACGATTGCAGTGTTAACTAAATTCTGTTTACTGGGAACCCCGTCTTCTTTTATGCCTCAAAACAACATAGGGGAGGGAACTAGAGCGCCTTCTAGTGTACAGACATATTAAGAGCATGTATCACACAGATGAACAAAGAGAAAAAGTGATCTGACGGTTTTGGTTATGGTATTTGACCTCAATCACTGGACTCATTTAGAGACTAAACAGCAAAAACTCCAAAATGAACTCTCCTGGGAGTGTTAAAGTGTTAAAGGGTCACTTCACCCATTTGCATTAAGCTTTGCATCTTTAGAAACCCAGTCATATTTTTTTAATGGTCATGGTTTATTCCCATATTTTCCCCTGAGATGGGAGAAATAAGGATTTAAGTGTTTTATTTCCTGCTTATTATGACACAAAATGACGATTTTTACGTCACATTTCATTTAAAAAAAACTCAATCATCACTCATTTTCTTTTCTACGATGTAAACACATACATAGCTACACCCCAAACGTTTTTATCACTGTCTTATACAGTAATTGTAGAATTTAATATCTAAGTATGATCAACTTGTTTACCACAAACCTTATTTCACTAACAAATTTCACTAAGCATAGGAATATTTTGTATACATTTATATATTTTATATATATTTTTATATGTATATATTTTTACATTTATATATTTTATATATTTTTTTAATAACCTTATTTCACTAAGCATAGGAATATTTTGAGGGAACCAGTAGCGAATTAGTCTTTTGGGTTTTGATGTCATCCCAGTACCACCTTTGACCTCTAAACAAGATATTTTTTCCCACACCTAAAACAGTTTAGTTCTCAGTGACTGAATTTGAGCAGAAGTTCTCACTGTCGAGACCCAGACATACCTTTTGCACTGCTTCAAAAACTGTTTGGGGTAATCGAGTGTAAAGCACTCCAAAGGCAGTTGGTACATCTGAAACGTTTAGTAGAACTTCTTCCTCAACCACTGAATCCAGGCCTCCAGCATCAATGACTGTCTCAAGGAGAACAATTTGCATCTCTGTGGTCTGCCTCTCCTCCACATCATCGCCTCTCTGGTTTGAACCACATGATTAAATGGGAGGAAAAAAAAGATAAATTATTATAGGAGATAATAAGAACAACTATTCATCAAAACTACTTGAACTTGAACAGCTAAATGTTACATTTATTTTGTTAGCTATATAACAAAGTGTTTAAAAAAATTAAGAACTAATATAAATTACTTCCCAGATAGCAAACTGACATTGAATCAACGTGAAAACATGACATCGAAACAACGTTGATCTGCTCATCGAATTAACGTTGAAGCAACGTCAGACGCGCCATTCTTTCAAAACTAACGGAAAATCAACTTAAAATCAACTTGAAATCAACGTTGTTTTAACATTATGAAAGCAAACCAATTTTCGATTTTCATTTAGCTTTGAAGAATGCCGCGTCTGACGTTGGTTCAACGTTAATTCGATGAGCAAAATCAACGTTGTTTCAATGTCATGAGAGACGTGGTTTCCACGTTGATTCAATGTCAGTTTGCTATCTGGGTTACCAGTGCACGAATTTGAGTACACAAAATAATAGTATCAGCTGATTCACAACCTAGGCAGCTTATCGAGACACCCACTGATAACGGCCTTATTAAATGTTGATTCAATGTCAGTTTGCTGTCTGGGAAGTCAAGTAACATTTATCTATATAGCGCTTTTTACAACTACAGATTGTATCAAAGCAGCTTCACAGTGATAAGGGTTGGGTATCGAGAATCGAGTATCGATTGGAACCGGGACTAACTTTTCATTTTTCCCGGAATCGTTCAAAAGTTAAAATTTCGATTCTTAGTTTCGATATTCACAGTCCGCCGAGCGGAAGAAGAAACCGCTGAACAACGCCAAAGAAGAAGCGTCTACCGGAAGTGTTGGCATAACCACGCGAGTCGAACATGAGTAGCTTACGTCGATGATCCAAAGTGTGGCTTCACTTTTCTAAAAATAACGAAATCTCTGCAAAATGCAAAATTTGTGACAAAAGGATTATTTCCCTCAGAATAACCATTGGTTAGCAAGGTTAGCTAAACTTTTTTGACCCTGCATGCCTCTTAAAAGAATCGGAATCGAGAATCGTTAGGAACCGGAATCGAAACAAGGAATCGGAATCAGAATCGTTCAAATTCAAACGATACCCAACCCTAGTGATAACATGAAAATAATACAACACAGATCAACAGGAGGACATGGGGGTGAGCTTCGTTGAAAGAGTTCATAGAGAGAAAAACAATTCCATTCACATACCATATGCAACATACAGGTCGACGGTCGGTCGTCGGGCATTCTTTGTGCGTCAAGTTTCCTCGGTGTGTTTCGCAATGTTGGCTGAAATTGATCCTCGTCGGCTTTGTTTCGGCCGATTCCGCCGGTGAATGATGGAACTCTGATTGGCTGTTCAGCTTAGAGAGAGAGTCAAGGCACGAGAAAAATAGCAAAACAGCAAGCAAAGTCTAAACGGCTCCGATAGAAGGCTGTTCTTATGTTACGTCATCTTACCTGAGTGTTCGTTGGCGAATATTTCAATATTAACACGAGTGGAGTGGAATAAAGAAAGTGCTTAGCAGGATTTATATTTAAAACTAAGCACGAGCTGCTTTGTTTATGATTTGTGTATCTGCAGCCGGCAGCGTCGGTTTCCCCTTTTTCAATGACGAATATCCACAAGTTTCCTACGCCCCAAGAGGCCTTGCGTCAAAAGTGGGCGCGACTTCCGGTTGGAAGTAAACAAAGCGCGATTTGACATGCTTGACACTCGTTCATTCAACAGTTGACAGTCATTCAAGTTATAGCGATCCAAACTAGCTAATGATGTGGGAACACAACCTCAACCAAATTCAAAAGGGTGAAATAACAGTATCTTTACCCTCCGCAGTAGTTGATTGGGAGTATTATAATAACATTATTAATAATCAATACTCATCAAGGCATGGTGACAGACAGTTGTGCGAGCTGACAAACAATTAAAATAAAAAATACACACTTAGTCATTGTGCTTTGGAGTTTATTCAAAATTATAAATGAATGTGCTACTTGAATAACTTACAATTAACTGGCACATTTGGTATTCTGTCAACACAGGCTTTGATCCCTGAGTTTAGCTGTAACATCAGTAGAGAACAGCCAAACACATGCTGATAGAGTTAGAACATTAAGAATTTAAACAAATGTACACAGGAAGATTCGTCGTCTTTTGGGAGGTGATGGAAACTACAGTCGTTGGCAGGATTAGAAGACGGGCTCTGGCAGAATCACTCTGATTTCGTTTTCAGCTTATGTTCTAAAACAATCACGTTTAAGCCACTGAATTACTTTAGTCCGGTTATACATACAACCGCGAACAGCACATGTTGTCCCTGAGTAGAGGGCTGCATTGGGATTGGGTCCCGCGGGACCCAACGCAAATCTCGCGGGAGCGGGCGGTTTGAACTTTGATGCGGGCGGGAATGGGCGGCGAAAAAAAACGGCTGCGGGATCAGGAGGTAGCCTTCACATGATGGAGAATGAGAAGATGTCAATAAATGACGTGGAAAATAACCTCAAAAGAGGTATTTTCAGCACAAAAACTAAGAAAGGCAAGTCTGACATTTGGAGAAGTTTCTCAATTGTCTGTGACAAAGACGGAAAGGAACTGGACTTAAATACTCGTCTATAGCCTATTGTATATATATATATATATATATATATATATATATATATATAATTTTTTTTTTTTGCAAAGCAGTCTATTTTTAAGTGCCCTGGGATGGTGCTTGATAAAAGGTTTAAAAGGTTTTGATAAAAATGAAATTATATTTGAATGTATTGTGTTTTGTCTTGTTCTCATAAGCTAGCTGCTTTCAGACTTGCTTTCTGTTCATTTACAATAATTACATTATTATCAAGCCTGACGGAATACAATAGCCAAAATCAAAGAAACGCGCGGTAGCCTAAGCATTTTAAATGTCCCCGAACGATAGCCAGGATTCATCTTCCTGATCAGTCCATCAGAATACATGCGGGCCAGGGAAACGAAACAAACAACCCCATGAATCTCTTTAATAATAGCAATACAAATAAGTGTTTTTTTTCCTGCGGGACGGGAGAAGACACAAAATCAATGCATCTCTATTATTGTGCGGGAATAAATTCTCAGAGTTTTGCGGGTGCGGGCGGGAGTGGACATACATTTTGCGGGTGCGGGCGGGAGCGGAACACATACGTTGCGGGAGCGGGCGGTAATGGTCAGAAATTCGGCGGGTGCGGGCAGGAGCGGGATGAAGAAAACAGTCCCGCGCAGGACTCTATCCCTGAGCTCCGTAACGACATCTCTCATAAAGATTTGCGTCTTTAAAATAGTAAAATAATTCTCCGAAAAACAGCTAGCATCTTCGCTAACTAACACACAAAATACCATTGGAATGCTCCCAGATAGCAAACTGACATTGAATCAACGTGGAAACGACGTCTCTCATGACATTGAAACAACGTTGATTTGCTCATCGAATTAACGTTGAACCAACGTCAGACGCGGCATTCTTCAAAGCTAAATGAAATCGAAAATTGGTTTGCTTTTATAACGTTGAAACAACGCGTTGATTTCAAGTTGATTTTCCGTTAGTTTTGAAAGAATGACGCATCTGACGTTGGTTCAACGTTAATTCGATGAGCAAAACAATGTCAGATCAACGTTGTTTCGATGTCATATTTCCACGTTGATTCAATGTCAGTCTGCTATCTGGGCTACTTCCGCCGCGTCACCGGAAGTTTCACCCACTTTATTTTTTACAGGAGCGCCCCTCGGAAACTTGTGGATAGATCTGCAGAAATAGACAGTTGGCTCATTTACACGTAGAACGCACATTATAGCTGACCGTCGCCTGTAGTTCTCTCGGTGTGTTCAAGTGCAGCTTTTACCCCGAAGAGAGCAATAACATCCAAGAGAGGCGGCAACACAGTTGGCTTTCATCAGCGCTAGTTCGTCGGCGTCGGTTTGGTGTAATAACTATCACATGTCTTATGTTATGAGTGTGTGACTAAACAGGGTGTACAATAAATTATTAGATGGACAGAAAAGGAGATGCAACACACGTGTAAGGCATTGCTTCAGTGTGATTTATTGAGAACAGGGGAAATGCTCTCACGTTCTTAGGGATTTCACATATCCTTTATATGTAAAATTGTTTCAACACTGAGAGCAAGTAAAGGGCTTGTTTGAGTATGAATTAACATGTTTCTTAAAGTTTGCTTCATGACTGTAAGAGTTTCCACACTGAAAGCAGGTGAAAGGCTTTATTCCAGCATGAACTAACATGTGAGTCTTAAGGTTTTGTTTACGTGAGAAACTCTTTCCACACTGAGAGCAGGAGAAAGGCTTTACTGAAGAGTGAGTTACCAAATGCACATTTAGTGTTCCTTTCTGTCTAAAACTTTTCCCACACTGAGAGCAGGTGAAAGGCTTTATTCCAGCATGAATTATCATGTGAGTCTTCAGGTTTTGTTTACGTGAGAAACTCTTTCCACACTGAGAGCAGGAGAAAGGCTTTACTGAAGAGTGAGTTACCAAATGCTCATTTAGTGTTCCTTTCTGTCTAAAACTTTTCCCACACTGAGAGCAGAGGAAAGGCTTTATTCCAGCATGAATTAACATGTGCTTCTTAAGGATTTGTTTACGTGTGAAACTCTTTCCACACTGAAGACATGTGAAAGGCTTTACTGAAGAGTGAGTTACCAAATGCTCATTTAGTGTTTTTTTCTGTCTAAAACTTTTCCCACAGTGAGAGCAGGAGAAAGGCTTTATTCCAGCATGAATTAACATGTGAGTTTTAAGGTATACTTTATGTCTGAAACTGTTTCCACACTGAGGACATGTGAAAGGCTTTTCTGAAGTGTGAATTAACAAATGATCATTTAGTGTTCCTTTCCGTCTAAAACATTTCCCACACTGAGAACAGCTGAAAGGCTTTATTCCATCATGAATTAACATGTGTTTCTTAAGGTTCTGTTTACTTGAGAAAGTCTTTCCACACTGAGAACAGGTGAAGGAATTTTTCACTTCTGTTATTCGGATGCTGCTTTGTGAGCAACTGTTTTCAGTTTTGGAGCAACTCAATGGCTTTTCTCCAGCGGTGACATCACGAACTTTCTGGTGATGTCTCTCCTCCACTTCATTCAGATCTGGTCTTTCCTCTTTCACTTTCACCAGCCCTAAAATTAAAACATAAAAATAATGAAAATCAATTGGTACAATTGGAAAATAAAAGGAAATTTTAGTTATAAATGTCCGTGACTCTCCTGTTTTAACTCATCAAAATCAACAAATCTCCCCTCATGTTGTTCCGAACCTCTATGTGTTTATTTGTTCTGCTGAACACAAAGGAAGATATTTGGAAGAATGTTTTAATCAAACAGATCTCATTCCCCATTGACTACCTAGTCAATGGGGAATGAGATCTGTTTGATTAAACCATTCTTCCAAATATCTTCCTTTGTGTTCAGCAGAACAAATAAACACATCGAGGTTTGGAACAACATGAGGGTGAGTAAATACTGACAGAATTTTCATTTTTGGGTGAACTAACCCTTTAAACTTTTTTTTTTTTTTTTAATGAGTGATCGTTTTGCTTGATAAGACCCTTATTCATCGCCTGGTGTCGTTTAAAGCTGCACTGAAACTCATAGGGCTGGGCGATATATCGCACGATATTGTTATGCGCATCTAATCAGTAAAGCCGGTTCCTTGATTAGCAGTAAATCACCTTCACCTGCTTTCAAATGGACGATATGAGTGTTAAATTAAACTGTTATTTAGACAATTAAGTGATTAATTTAGTGATGATTGAACATTGAAGACACCTGATGATAACAAGCAGAATCACTGAAGGAGAAAATCACAAATTGTAAGCCACCATTATGGAGATCAGTGTTTGCTGGGCTCTTGACACTTTGTGATCTGATAGTGTTGGTTATGTTTTGACATAATCATGCAATGATTTGAAAAATGAAACTTATTCAGATGATTTGGTTAACTTGTTAGCTACAGTTCTGTGATTCTGCTGCATTTCTGGATTATACTTATAACCTAAAATCTTAAATAAAAAATATTCTAATCAAATCACTGACATCTTTATTCAGAAACACAGAGATCAATAATCAGCCTGTCTGTCTCAACCATGGTTACATGTTGCCACCAATCACAACTCATTAATGTCTCCCATCATGCATTGCGGTATGAATAAATTATGATCTGAATTGTCTACGTAATTTACTTTTCCTACTTGAATATTCTACTCGTCACCGTTGTTGAGAAGCATTGACTGAATCTTGAGGTCTGTGTGTGCCTTAAGCCTAGTTCACACTACATGATTTTAAAACGTCGGGCTGAACTGTGCGGTTCACACTACAAAACTTGCTCTCAGTGAAATCAAGAGTGTTCAAGTTTTTAGCTGTTCACACCACACAACACAACGTGATTGATCCGCAACAGGAGGTAACTCACTACACGAGTTGACAACGCACTGCATAGAGATACACCCACGATCGGATGATAAGAGCAAATCATTTGTGACTCAATGAGAGCTGTTTCAGTACTATGCTACGGTCTAAATCCTGAAAATAATCAAATAAATAACGAGTTGACAACAACTCTGTCACTCAACGATTTTATCTCGTCTACAAACCAAGTTGTCACGAAAAAACACCCAGTAAATAAATAAATATTGTGCCAATTATACCCAGCGAAGAAGAGAACACAACACGTGAATATGGACGTCAGACAGAAACTAGTGCTGCACACAGTTTGCGCTATGATCTTCTCTGAGGAAAAAAAAGCAAAAAAAAAAAAGAGAAGATTTACCTGGTGTCCTCAACCTATGCGTTGCTATGATTGGCTGTACCCATGACATCACTGAGTTTGAGTCGCGCGACGGCTCTGGATATCTAGCAGGCTAGATATTTTTCTGGGCTCGGCGACGCGTCTGCGAGGCATCTGCGAGCGTTTTCGCTGCGTTGTTGGCTCTTTCATACTAACAGATTGGCAAGCGTTCATCGTCCGCTAATCCCCCGCGATTTGCACGCGATAACACCCTGACCTGTCGGCGACTCAACGATTTGCAAATCGGCATAAATCGGGCTTAAAATCCTGTAGTGTGAACTTGGCATTAAAGAAAGATTTTTTTTTTAAAACAACTTTTGAGAAATTCATTATATTATATTTAACATTCTGTATGTTTATGCAGAATCTCAGTTATGCAGTAACCAACAAAATAAATCACAGACATAAATTTTAAATGATGAAAGTCATTATATAACCAACATCATTTTGTAATTGTTTATCTTTGTTCATCTGACGGGATAAACTCAGTTAATACAAGTGTCAAGAGCCCAACTAAATCAGACACTGATCTCCATAACGGTGGCTTACAATTTTTAGATTTTTTCCTTGTGATTCTGCTTTAGGTGTCTTCAATAATGCTCAATCATCACTCATTTAATCACTTTATTGTCTCATTAACTTTAACACTCTTGAGTGTGGACTCATATACACTCCCAGGTGTGTTAGTTTAACACGGGAGATTTTGTCGTGACGAAGAGCCGTAGTTAACGGACAAGCTGAGCCATATCGTATTAAATATCGCTGGTGATATGTCCTAGATATTAACGTGATTAGGCTCAGCTTGTCAGTGATCTACGGCTCTTTGTAGTAAATGCCGCTCCATCTGAAAGCAGGTGAAGGTGATTTACTACTAATTAAGGAACCGGCTTTACTGATTAGATGCGCATAACAATATCGTGCGATATATCGCCCAGCCCTAGACACACACACTACATGTGTTAATCTACAAAACGTGTTAAAATCTACACAAAATGTGTTGTCCCTAAGCACACACACTACATGTGTTAACGGTGCCATATGTAATAATTGATGTAACAATATCCGAAAAATGAGCTACACGCATCAAAAGAATGAGAAGAAATAAGTGCAATGATGTCATTAAAAAACTGACAAGTTATAGTGCTGCCGAGATATTAACCTGAATTAGCATGCTAAATTATTAGTCTCAGCCCGGCAGGTGTCGTAATACCAGTTCCGGCCATGGGAGGCGGTATGCGGGCGGGCAACATTACCACCAGCCAAACTGCAATACGCGAGTGAGTCGCGCTCGCGCCGGCTTGTGTGTGTACTGAACCTGAATGTGAACCTGATGTCAGTCGTGTGGAAATACAGCCCATTACTACATTTCAGTTCAGGGAAGAGTTCAAAAAATGATTGGTCGACATTATGCACGAGGAATACATTTTGGTAAGTTGTAGCATACGGTATCTTTCAACAGAGTTCATGTCCTTTTTCCATTAGCTAGTAGGAACGATCGGTTCACGTGCGCTAGCGATCTGTGGTGTAACATGTACAAGCGCCAAAACGGTATTTATTCTTTGAATTGCGTAATATAATTGACAGAATCTGAGAGCTTAACTTACCTGCTTGCTAAGTGTCAATTGCGTGTGTCTCACGGTGAATTCACAGCGCTAGCTTGATCAACATCAGCGAACGCTGTCTGTCAAATTAATTCACTAACAACAAAAGTGTAATATGAACAAAACGAATACCATAAACTTCAAATAATTGCCCAAGCTTTTATTTTCCCATATAGTCGAAATGCACCAGCTTGTTTTTGATACAGGCGTCTATGAGTCGGTCTTCATCATTTAGTGTTAAGATTTGGTTCATTGAGTCTCTGATCTCTAAAAATCTCCAAATGCTCCACGTGAAAGTGCGGTCTTCCAACCTTTTACTATCATGTCAAATGATTTGAATAACATGCACGATGGTAGGAGCACAAGTCATTTTCTGGAGGTATACTGCCCCCATCTGTTATGGAATATGGAGTAGGATTTGATTTATTATGTTAGATGGCACCTTTAAAATCTACACAACATGTGTCATTTTTAACATCTCTTTTTTTAAAGGTTGTGTTATTTTCAACAGCATTTTATAAAAGTGCACCAGTGTAAATAAAACTTATTTACACACAACATTTCGTCAGTTGCTACATTTTAATCTAATTCAAAGTGCAAACTTGAAATCAAACTCCCTGTGTTAAAAACAATAACACTGGTTGAGTTAAAAGTAAAACAAAATGTGTTGTCTTTAACTAAATAGACACACAGGTGTGTTAAGATATAACAGGTTGTGTTGTTTAACACATCCGTTTTAAGAGTGTATTGTAAAAAATTATTATGACACCCCAAATTTTAGATACCAGGGAAGCTTATTAATTCTCGATTCCAATTTCAACACCACAGCTTTGGGTCCTTTTACGATTTTTTATCTTTAGTCAGTCTGAGCATTTAAAAATATCTGTCCAATTCAAAGGGAGATATTTTATTTAACAACTAAAACTAGATTGGAAAAATCCCCGCCGACGGAATAATCAAAAAATAACGATTACTGTTTGGATTAAATTAGTTTATATAATCACGATTATATGGTGTATGTAACATAAACATTAGAAGAAAAAAAACACTAACGTCCTGTGAAAGAAGTGCTTGGATATAGTCCGTGAATGCGGCTTGGAAACATATTCGTACATCCAAAAAACAAAAACAAAACTTTGTAAATGGGCATATGGGACCACTTTAAAGATGAATGAAGAACCAACCTTCTTGTTCCTCGTGTTTTATTCTCCAGGGTTCTGGTTCACTCATGTCCTCCTCACTCTCCTCTTTAACGAACACCATCTTCACAGCAGCAGATCTCAGTTCAGTTGATACTCCTCCAGATATTCCTGCTTCAAAACTTAGTCCGTGTATATGAGGATGGGAATATTACAGGCATTTATTGACCTGTAAAAATATATCGTTCTATCTTTTCTTTGTAATAGTTTGTATTAAGCCAGTAACGTTGCCACATAACAGAAGAGCCCACGCTGAAAATTAAAGTTCTTCCTCTGAGGTTTAATGGTGGTTGTAAACAAACATGTGTGTCTTACCGCCACCCACTGGACTGGAGTGTGAAGCGTCGAAAGAGGAGGTCAGGAGGATGGACGGATTATGTCCTGCACTGCATTTTCCCTTAAAAATATTTGCACAAATAAATGAAAAATACTTTAAAAAAAAAAAAAAAAGATATAGCCCACACTGGCATAATATAGGCTTAAGTGAGGAGAAGATCAGAGAAACGAGTTTCCAAATTTCATTCCAATCAAATATTTCAGGGAAAACACATTTTGCAGAATGACTGACATTACAACATTTAAATGAGAGACAAAGTCAGAAAAATCGGGACACTTTTTTGGTAAACTGTGTATTTAACACACTCTATATACTATTAAAGTTTTAAACACATGCTCAAGGTCTGTTGTATCTCCAATTATGGTTTTTGAGGGAATAAAAATGTTACTGTGGTGGTAACTCACAAAAAAAAAAAAAAAAAAAAAAAAAAAAAAAAAAAAACCCTAGACAATCAATCGGCATAGTCGTCAAACCCCTAAAACAGACAATTAATCGTCAAAACCCTAAAAATATTTTAGACAATTATTCGTCAGCCAAAATTCATAATCTAAACGAACTAATCAACTAAAAACACATCTCTTTGACCTAGCACATAAAACATTATAAACGTCTATAATTCAATGTTAGGCTGTATAGTTTAGATCCGGGAACACTTCCCATAAATCCTGATGTACTTGTAACATCATAAGAAGAATGGCATCTACACTAATATTAGTCTCTTTGTTTATCCCGAGGTTTACCACAGTCCGTCGTATGAAGGACCTGCGCCTGGACACGACGATAACGCAGTTATGAAGCGTCACTAGTCCCTCCCTGTGAATCCTCCTTTCCTTCACCTCTGTAGATAATTGTGTCAGGATAATTCCAGTTCACGAAGCGATACAATTCTGTATTATAAATTTTAAGGCCAGACAAGTGGTTTGTTGAGGGTTGTTTTTTTAGGGAAGGACTACATGCTTGCACACATTTCAAACATGCATACCTATAGAATGAACTCTTAATAATTAATACTAATACTTATCTAATATTTAAAGTAAATATTACAAATTCTAAAATATTCTCCATCTCGAGTATTACGTCAAACGAGACTGTGTGTGAGTCTCAGCAATACAACAGTTTTTGTCCTCATACAGTCTGTGTACAATTGACACAATCCCGCGGTTCTGGATCGATTACAGACAAGCACCCCAAAATATTAGATTAAATTTGATATCAGAACATAGACAATGATCAGAGCAGAGCAGAGTTATCTGAGAACCAACAATGACACAAACAAGAAGTGCAGACTCAAAGTCAGCTTTATTGTGCTCATGCCATAGTTTATTCAGCAAGTCTCAGGTGTTGACTAAAAACAACAAATAAAATAATAAGTCCATATGGAAAAGAAACGAGACTGCCAACTTCGCTGAAAGAGTTCATAGAGAGACAAACAATTCCATTCATATACCAAATGCAACCTTACACCTTATGGATAATAACTATCACATGTCTCATACGAGTGTGTGACTGAACGGTCATAGATAGACAGAAAAGGAGATGTAAACATATTTATCCCAACACATGTGTAAGGCATTGCTTCAGTGTGATTTCTCATGTCTTTCCACGCTGAGAGCAGGTAAAGGGCTTTTTAAAGTACGAATTAATATGTTTCTTAAGGCCTACTTTATGTCTGAAAGAGTTTCCACACTGAGAGCAGACGAAAGGCTTTACGAAATTGTGAATTAACATATGCTCATTAAAGTGTCCTTTCTGTGTGAAACTCTTGCCACAGTGAGAGCAGGTGAAGGCTTTATTTCAGCATGAGTTAACATGTGAGTCTTAAGGACTTGTTTACGTGAGAAACTCTCCACACTGAAGACATGTGAAAGGCTTTTCTGAAGTGTGATTACCAAATGCTCATTTAGTCTTCCTTTATGTGTAAATCTCTTCCCACACTGAGAGCAGGTGAAAGGCTTTATTCCAGCATGAATTAACATGTGAGTTTTAAGGTATCTTTTATGTCTGAAACTGTTTCCACACTGAGAGCAGGAGAAAGGCTTTACTGAAGAGTGAGTTACCAAATGCTCATTTAGTGTTCCTTTCTGTCTAAAACGTTTCCCACACTGAGAGCAGCTGAAAGGCTTTATTCCAGCATGAATTAACATGTGCTTCTTAAGGTTGTGTTTATTTGTGAAAGTATTTCCACACTGAGAACATGTGAAGGAATTTTTTCGTCCAGCATGAATTAACGTGTGATTCAAAGGCTGCTTTTATGTTTGTAACTCTTGCCACACTGAGAGCAGGAGAAAGGCTTTATTCCAGCATGAACTAACATGTGATTCAAAAGGCTTCTTTTATGTTTGTAAGTGTTTCCACACTGAGTACAGAGAAAGGCTTTTTCTCTTCTGTTATTTGGATGCTGCTTTGTGAGCAACTGTTTTCAGTTTTGGAGCAACTCAATGGTTTCTCTCCAGCGGTGACATCATGAACTTTCTGGTGATGTTTCTCCTCCACTTCATTCAGATCTGTCTTTCCTCTTTCACTTCACCAGCCCTAAAAATTAAAACAGTAAAATAACAACATGACATCATGACTTTTGCATAAACATACACGCCACTTTCGAGTCAAGTGGCGTGTTATCTCGACGCATTTTCAGCTATCCGCTTGTATCCGCGTGTATGTGTGCCGCGTATGTCTACGCCATTAACGTCATTCCGCGTGTCTGTACACGCAGTCAAATCTCCAGTCATAAATGCCATTAACCCCAGTGACGGTTAGGTTTAGGGACAGGGTTGAGGTAAGTCGTATATTTATATAACGTTAAGTCAACGGCGTTGTAGCAAATGCAACATTTAATAATATATGTAAAGTGTATTTAAGGGGGCCGGAAAGGCCAATTTAGCTCAAAGGGGATAATTCATTGATTTACAATGAATCTTGACGAATCACTAACGGAACCGAGCAAACGACTCGTTTTAAAGTTCATTTGAACGGGCCGTAATTATAACCTTTGCAAGGATATAAATACCAA